TAAACATCTAAGCGAAATATTTAAACTCCATGTAGGTCATGAAAGTCGTTTTAATATCAAAAGTAAAAGTGCGGTACACGATCTCCTGTAAAACTTATTGAAAGTGCTCTGACAGAAGACAACTCAAAGCACGACATGAGAAAGGTTTTGGGGCTATGAGTGACGCTTTTCCCAACTACGAATAACAATCTCAGCCGATAGGTGACTTCATAGCAGCGTTTGACGTTGTTTATGCGCAAACCAAAATTGGTCCACTGGTACAAACCAGGAACTAAGGAGTACGAAAAAGTGGGTATTTTAAGAAGRCAAAAGTTCTGTTTTTACCGGAGGTTTCAAAGGCTGTCAGACTTACAAGTTGTGACCCACTTTGACTACCTGTATGTGCCTTAATTGCACATTTTTTATTGCCAGACTAGAAAAAGTCACTCACTGAATAGAAATTGGAGGAGACTGAGGAAATCATCTCATCTAAGGAGGCCTTTTTTCTTCTTTTTAATTGGCGTAGGCACCGCTTACGCGATTATAGCMGAGGATGAGTCTTGTGTAGAAGTTCACGCAAGTGAGGAAAGTCCTCTGATCGCCATTCACTGGGGAGTGGCCAGAAACGATTCTTTTACATATGACTCAAGCAGCTCACGACTAAAGTGAGAAGGCGAAACATCCCCTCCGCCACGTTGAAAATCATACCAATGAAAAGGAGCAACAAGCCTCGGAGGCATTTTTTGAGTAGATTAATTATCACCAAACTTGACATTTGCAACTGGTTAAATGCGCGTAGCCTCAGTATACATACACACCACTCCACCCGGGAAAAACTGGCACACTTTAATAAAACACACCACATCTCCTCAAAGGATCTTATTTTACATGAAGTAACCACCACATTCAATGTAAAAAAACAACGCCTTGGACTTTCATTTCTAGCACCTCATTTGTTACGTCAACGGGCCAGASCGCCACAAAATTTTCTTCTAACGGGTAATCTAAATAGAGGTACTTTCTTAATAGYCTTTTTTGACAGATCACGCGTGCGTCGTGTGTAGCTGTCATGTTATTTATGTGCAGTGCTGTTTGTCATTTTATCATGGAAAAACTAAAGYCTGAACAATGTTTACAAATCGTTTAACTTTATTACGAAAATTCAGCATTTGTTCACCCATCTAGTACCCATCTCATGTAAGTACGCAGCACGCAGTAAAGAAAATATGGCGGTCATTGCTGAGAGTGTAAACGCAGACCGTGGAGAATCGATTCGCCGTTCACAGAAACTTGTGTACATCGAGATCCTAAATTGAAAGTATAGAAGAAGCTTCTGCAATAACTAAAGCCGTTCCGTTCCTTCCTTGAGCTCTTGAAAAGTTCCAAAAAGTTCCACCAAAAACAATTTCTGACTCAATGGTACGTAAACAAGTAAAGTTGCCGCGTTTGGGACGAAGAGCAACCTGAAGAGAGTTGCAATTTCGTCCAGAAAAAAAAAAAACAGTTTGGTGTTAGAAAAATCTTCAAAAATGATGCCTGTGAGAACGTAACCGTCAATATTAATCATTCTCCCGCCAAGATAACCGACTATTTGATGCCTTAAATCTCTTGATCTCGATAACATGGTTTCAACAAGACGGCGCCATTTCACGCACATCGCATAAATTAATGGATTTATTGAGGGATTGGCCACCAAGATCGTAACATACGGGACATGCAAAGTCTAAAATCTATGCGGAAAATCCGGATTCGATTCAGGCCTTGGAGCAAAACATCCCTCGTGTCATTCACCAGTTTCTTGTCGAAATGCTCGAACGAGTCATGGAAAATTGGAATCAGAGACGTATCCGCGGCCAACATTTGATAGAGATTATCTTCAAAATATAAATGAATGCCAAAGAATGTTCTTTCGAATGATAATGAACATTCTCCATTAAATTTTAAGTTTCTGTGTTTGTTTTTTGTAGAGAAATGGATTGACCCTTTTCTGTTTTTTTGTTAAAAGTAAAAAGCGAATTATAGATTTTTTAGTTTTTTTCGAATTTATTTTGATTGTATTTCTAAGTATTTATAAATATTTCATTTATTCGTATATATAAATATATATTATAATCAGAATATAGTCACAATATATGTACATACATATATGATATAAATACAATATATAATACATATTATTTAAAAAATTATTTACTAATTCGTTGTTACATATTTACATTAACAATAAAATAATATAATTACTATTTATATTAATAAAGAATTTTCACATAATTTCACAAATAAATTATATTAAATAAAATTCAGTCCCTAAGCACTTGTCATTATGCGGCTCCTAGTAAACTTTATTGCTTATATTTTTCGAATTTTTTAGTAACCTGTATGTGCAAAGAAATCTGAGTATTTTATACTACAACTGGTGAGTTAGAAGGTTCGTTCTTTTAGAAAAATAAAAGAAAACAAATTAAGGTTACGTTCTTCTGGGCATTTATTAGTTGGAAGCGTTTGCATGCAATTAATGTTGCATTAACACACGAAGAGTATATACATATATAAAATTTCCATATTTTACAAGCAGACGTAGTGCGTACAATAAATATTTTAAGCTTATAATATATGATGATATACATTTTTTATAAAAAAAAATATTTTTTTATTGAAATTGTTCAATTGTATTATACCTTTTTTCAATAACATTGGAATCTTTGCTCTTTTGGCTGCTTAAAACTAAATTTATAAATCGCTATTTATATATATATATATATRYAYRCACACACACACACACACATACATACACGAATAAGTTAAATACCAGTAAATAGTTAGTTTAATTTGCAATTAAAAACTAATTATTTTTGCATGACATAACACTGCAATCCTTTCACACATTAGTTACTTGGTTGTTTAAATAAAATAATTAAAAGATTTCCTACTTATCAGCTAATTAATCAATAAACTATTTAATAAGCATGTGGGGTCAACAATTTTTCCAATAAAGTACTTAATAAGTGTTAATTTTTAATATAACGACGACACTTCGCGAGTGGACGAAGCAGCCGTTAGGCCTAAATGTCATCGAAACCTTTCCATCACATCTTACATATAACCAACAGTTTAAGCTAAGCGTCCACCAGGTCATTGGTAACGCCACTCCTTCGGCAACACCATATCCTTAATGGCATACAAAAATCGCGCATACCAATGTATACCCTTCGTTCGCGTCGTCGCAGACACTGTCGAATTGCCAGCGACACTCTTCGCTTGCACCGACGTTACATCATTGCTGTCGGGAAGCCACGCACGCATAGAYGCCAACAGACGCATGGGCGCTAAGCCCCAATGTGCCAACTTTTGGCTATTCACCACCGCATAGCAAGAAGCTGTCACCGAATCGACGACTATTGTACCGGTGCGTGTGAGTGGCGCYACCACACCCGGTCGATGCGCTACCTTCAAACGCTGCACCCGCTGTGGACTCAAACGGCCATATTGATCGTGCACCAGCACATAATCATTGTCCTGCACACGATCGGCGAACATATACTCCAGTCGATGTTCGGTCGGATGCCAAACTAATACTAAATGTGCCGGCGTCACAGTCAACGTGGCGCCACCAACTGTATGTATCTGCACAAAATTCTCCACTTGCTCCAAATTGCGATCCAAGAAGAGTATCACCTCGCTGTAGACGGGTTGACCCGCCGCATCCATAGTGAGCACACGTTCGCCGATATTCAAGTCGCGCAACATTTTGCGTTGTCCATTCTCGAGTAGTACGCTGCTGTCGGCCGCAAAGCAACCGCTCACGTGTGGTAGCTGCTGTGAATCTGCAAGGGATGGAGAAAATGGTGAAATTAGTATTTGTAGGTACAGTTGCATGCTTGTAAGTGCATATATKATTAATATTGCTTGGTGTTGCTCAAAATCGTATTACTTCACGCTGCGTGTGGATTAGCCACAATTCGTGTGCGCAGCTAAGCAGCCACGAGTCACACGAGTCAGCTCGTAGTATTATAATTTTCCTAATCCCAGCTAAGCTCACGTTCTATTTTCTAGCCCCTATAAGTTAATCCTACTGAATATTTGTTAGTGTAAGTGTATGTTTGCAGATTGTTGGGTGCGTGTTGGCTTGGAATTACCAAACTAACTAAGCACCGTCAGCATCTAATCCAATTTCTTGCAATAAATAGACGTGTGTGTAGCATCCAAAGGCAAGAAAGTTTGTAAGACAAGTCGAGATTAGTTTTCGTAAAGATGATTTGCTTCCTTTCATAGAGAAAGCGCTCAATATTTGATGTTATTTTAAGTAAACAGAAAATTTCTTAAGATAACATGGATAGTAARTGCTAATTGGATTTAGACTTAGCTAGTTGAAGTCGAAATATTGTGCCGGAATTCTTTGCGTTGCAGATTTTAGAAGAATTAGCGATTTGCGCCTAAAAGATGCTAAAAATGGTATGTTAACTAAATTTCAAGCTATGTTGTTGAGAAAACATATTTGCTGTAAATAACAAAAAATAGGCCGAAACCAGGACCAAGTTAGCCAATGCGGAAAACCATAAATAGCAACCAATATGAATCTATAAGTATGATTGTGTGTGAAACAACTTTGGAGCCTGTACACACGCCCTATATACATTCATACATATATTTTACAAGAATGACAACAACAATGTACATATAAAAGTAGACAACGCATGCTTCAAGCCACAGTTACAAGCCGAGTATGAGTATGAAGCGTAGAGCCGTTTGAAAGGTCATAAATTAATAAGCCATTAAAATGCCTGAAATTATCTTTGCGCGTTTTTGTTGTTGTTGTTGTTGTTGTTGTTGTTGCTATGTACCGGGTGTATACCATATGGACATGGTGGTGTGCTCTGTCTCTGGCGTTTTATCTTTACTGCTGGTAAGACTAAACTGATAAATTATTACAAAACAGAAAACAACAACAATAACAATAACAACTTACAACAAAGAAGAAAAATGTACGCAACACAGATTCAGCATTCGAGAATGGTCATAACAAGCAACAGACACGCATACATATATTTCTGTAGACCAGCCGATGTTTGTTAGCATTTACATAGGTACATATATATGTATGCATATATACTTTATATGTAAATATACATAGGTGTGCATAAAAGTGGCGCGCTTGTGGGCAAGTATGCAGCATATAGCAGCAGCCGTGGCAGCAACTTGTAGCTACTTGCCGCTCATGCCTCGCCATTATAGTCGAAATTGGTGTTAGTTAATAATAATGGTGTTGCTGTTGTTGCTATTGTAGTTGCCGCTTGACGCAACATCAAAGTCGCTACTTTGTATTGGCCCTTTGCTGCGCTATTGTWGTTGCAACTAGCTCTGGCAAAGTGGCATTTTGCTGTCAAAGCGCAKCATACACTYACAGGAACGCATGTGGGTGATCTTGTGAATGAATGTATGTGTGCGGCYATTTGTTGCACTTGCAAAATTGTATTTTTCAACGCTTTGTTCGACTTGCAAAATGCGTTGCGCGTGAGTCAAACGTGATTGTTAGTATAATCTGC